CACCTATCTATTGTGTGTGTGATGCAGAAGTGTGTGTGTGTGATATAAATACGTGCTCACCACTTACTATTTACCTAATTCATGTTACATAAATAAAGTATTTAGACATTTTAAAATGATCCCATCATGAATTTAATTTGTAGCAAGTCAACTTTGCACAGTGAATGCTGAAATCTTCTCCTTAACCTTAGATTTTCTTTAATATATATCCGCAGTAACACTTTTTTGTTTGTTTTTAATGTAGGAGCTCCATCAGAAAATTCTCCAACAAAAACACCATGTGAAATTACTCCAAAAAAAGACAGGTTGTCTGAATCCAGAAGTGGCTGAATTAAAGCAGCAGCTTCAGTGTATCACTGATTTGTTTAATACAAAAAAACAAATTTTCCAGGATCATTTTACCAGTCGTTTGAACTGTAAGCAAAAATGGGTTTCCCTTTTAAAGACTGACATACATGTCTGTGTTGGGCATGTGCTTGAACGTTGTAACTCCGAGGGCTAGATCCTCAACTGGTTTAAGATGGAATAGTTCCATTTGCTGCAATGGCAACATGTCTCTTTACACCTGTACAGGATTTGGCCCTACGCCTCCATATTCTTTCTGAGCAGTGGGCCCTGTCATGAAGCCTTTACTTTCACAAAATCACCATTAGAGTAAATGGAAGTTATGTTAGAATAAAGGCTGTCAGTTGGGGCGTGTGTAGAGAATCATGGCAGCTCTTTCTGTTCCATAATGTTTGAGGAACTTCTTGAAGATTCCATCTTTTCAGATCAGCGTTTGAGAACTGGCAATAAAAAGGGTGACCAGAGCGTTGCTGCCACAATGCATGTGCAAACAGTGCTTAGCTTCTTGATGCGGCCTGTTCATAAGTGCATCTTTTCAATTCTAGGTGACATAGTCTAGTGCCAAACACAGGGCAATGGGTATCTTTAACCTACTAGTGTATCTCCACTGGAGTTATACCCACAGAGAATTTCACCCAAATTGAACATCAGCCTGCAGTCACTGGAATAATAATAATTACTGAATAGGTTTAATTTGTGTTAGAGGTCAGAGTAGCAATAGCAAATCAAAATCTTTGATAGACTATACCAGACAATGTTTTCTGAAATATCAAAAATAGGCCTCTGAGGTGAGCCCCCACCAAGTAATAAGTACTGTCAGTGCAAGGTTGGGTTCCAAAAGAGAGAAGTAAGGACTGCAGCATTTTCTGTCATGTTGCATGTAGAGAGAGGCAGTGTTTAGGGACAGTACCAATGAATATAATTGTTAGGAGATTAACTGAAATCTTTATGTTTAGTAGAGCCTTCCTGTTACAGAATGAGAGAAAAAAAGTCAGACTCTGTCTTTTTGCAGATCAGTGTGAGGATTTTAATGACTGGTTCAGCGGCGCTCAGCTATCTTTAAAGGATTGTTTTGACCCTTCAGAAACAAAACAGATATTGGAAGGAAAATTGCAGAAGCTGGTGGTAAGATATTAGAGTATTTTAAAATACAAAGCTTTAGAGGGAGGTAGCACCCTCGCAAGATAGCAAGGGAGTCTGTACTTTGTAGTGAATTCACCTACTGTCGTTTATAAATTCAGGCTTTTTTGAGCTGAAATGTTGTTTTAAAAAACCCACAAAACAGTGTGGCTATGGGAATGGGTGATAGAATTGTGTTCAGAAATGCACATTTTGTTCTAACCTATAGTTAGGAAAGTTCAGATAGGTGCCACATTGACATCTAAGGGACTTAAGGAAACGCTTAAGGGTTATACTGAATCAGGACTTAAAAATGAAGATGATCCTGATTCTGTAGAAGTCAGTGGGAAAATCCCCATGGACTTAAGTGGAACTAGTATTTTACCATTATTAGTAGTAATTTTGAATATTTCTGTAACCACCTAGGAGCCCTAGGCATGCTCATTCCCATGGGCCTTTCCTTTCTAATTTACTTCTGATTCCCTCTCTTCCTCTCCTCACAGTCATCCTTGGTGATGTCATCTTCTATACTGGTGACTCATCTGGCCCCTTAGCTACATGTTCGCTCACCCTCCTGTGTTTCTTCAACCTGCAGCTTTGGGTCAACTCTCCCAATCACTAAAAGGGTCATTCACTTGACTTGATCTTCACTAAATATGGATCTCTCTCTGTTGCTGAGTTCCCCCTCTCTGACTATCACCTGGTCTTCAGAATTGCTCATCACACAGCCATTCTTTGTTACTTAGCCTCTCCCTGATTTCTAGTCCATCTGTGCTGATATTCTTGTTTTCCCTTAACCCTTTCCTTCCTGTCCTCTCTGTCAAGATGATACAATGCAAATTGGAGGCTGGAGTAGGCAGTCCTAGCTTTATCAACAGTTGAAGGTTTATGCAAGAAGTGAGACTTAATGAGAGGTTTGACTATGAAAGTTGTGGAGGTTTGCTTCATGCCTCTGCTTTGTGTATTTTACCCCAGAAGAGAATCTTTAGCCTCTCTTCTTTACTTTGCTCTTATATTTCAAGGGAGGTTTTCTTTGTCCATTTCCACTTGGGTGAGGTGAGTTTTAAATTAATAGTACATGCACTTTGCAAGAGCCTGTAAAGTTTTTTTTAAGCCCAAAGTGATAGCACAAACTAAGATGCTTCTATAGAATATTATCTAGCAACAGACTCTAATTTGTCATGTTTATGCTTTTATTAAGAGTTTCCTAACCTTTGAAGGCAAAGAGAGTGACATCCAAGAGGTAAAATCTCTCTTGCATAAAGTGGAGAGTTATTTGCCTGAAGCTAGTGTTAATCAACTTAATTGCTGGGTGAGAGATCAAGAAGCAGAGTTACAAAGAGTAACCTCCAAATGTCAAAAACAAGAAAAGAAACTTTGTGCTTCTTTGCAACAACTCATTAGGTAGGTATCTGAAATTAATTCCTAACAGCTTATTTATGTATGATATAAAGTTCTCTCTCAACCATAATGACACATAAATAACCTTGATTTTCATTAAAAATCATGTGTTGTTGAGGAATCTGCTGATATTTTCTTCTGTTTTGTTTAACTTCTCCTTCAATTTTCTTAACAATAAAGAGAGCATGAGGACCCTGATTCAGCAATGTGTTTGAGCATATACTTAAAACTTATAAATGGTTCAGTTGAAATTTGTGAAGCTACTCACATGCTGAGATTTATGTGTGTGCTTAAATATCTTGCTGAATCAGAGCCAAGATCATTTCACATCTGTTACAGTGAAATTTTATTGTCAATTTTTTTTTACTAATTTCAGATATAATACTTCTCACTTACGAGGGTGTTCATTCTTGTGTCTGTTGTTTCTTTAGACTTCAGGAAGACAACAGTGGCTTGAAGGAATGGCTCACTATTCAGGAAGAAACATGGCTGGAGACTAAAAACGAGAAGATTAAATTAGAAAGTCTTTACCAAATGCTAATAAAGCAGAGGTAGCCTTGTCTTTGGGTTTGGAGGGAGGTAGTTTTTATTTTTCTTGACTCCTCTCTTTTATAGTAGATACAGTGTTATTCATTTGTTGTATTTTTCAGAGAAGCATTCGACTCCCTATCTCAGCTGGCAAATTCTTTGAGGGAGTTAAAAACGAGAAGATTAAATTAGAAAGTCTTTACCAAATGCTAATAAAGCAGAGGTAGCCTTGTCTTTGGGTTTGGAGGGAGGTAGTTTTTATTTTTCTTGACTCCTCTCTTTTATAGTAGATACAGTGTTATTCATTTGTTGTATTTTTCAGAGAAGCATTCGACTCCCTATCTCAGCTGGCAAATTCTTTGAGGGAGTCTGGGGGTATCAGGAATTACAGACCCGTGTAAGCGAAATACTAGGAGTTACACAGACACTGTCCATGGAAGGGCAGAATTTTGAAGCTCTTGCACAGAAAATGTCGTCTTGGATAAAAAGACTTAATGAATCCGTTATTGGCTTGGGTTCACTGGAAGGCGAGTTGCCACTGGAGGAAAGGATACATCAAATAAAGGTACTGTAGCACACTTACTTCTCTGATTTTAGCAGCTATGGGTAATATACTGGAAATGTGTGGTGTCTAATCTCATTAGACCCACCATATGTCATTGATGGTTACAGTGTACAGCTAAGCATATGGTTGCGTGGGTAACCAAATGCAGTAGTGCAGCACAGAATTCTCAGCCTAGGGGCAAGGGAGGACTACAACGGCTTTATGTCCTCCCAATCCTGCCTGTTCCAGAAACTGGAGAGGGCCTGGGTAAGTTACAGCAGCTTCCCACAATCTCCTTGTAGGCCGCTGCACTCTGTGTGGAAGTTTTCAGAGAACTGTCCACGATAACTCCAAGATCTCTTTCCTGATTTGTCGTAGCCAAATTAGCCCCCATCATACTGTACGTATAGTTGGGGTTATTTTTCCCGATGTGCATTACTTTACACTTATCCACATTAAATTTCATTTGCCATTTTGTTGCCCAATCACTCAGTTTGGTGAGATCTTCTTGGAGTCCCTCACAGTCTGCTTCTGTCTTGACTATCCTAAACAGTTTGGTATCATCCTAAACATTCCACCTATCCAGCACCCCTATCTCTAGTGTGTCCCCTGTGCTGAATTTTGTGAGAGCGTCCTTACAGGGTAAGCCTTACAGTTGTCACATGCAATGCCTAGGATGGGAGAATTCTCCCCTATCTAGAATTGAGGCTTTATGGTGAATTGGCCTTTTCACATGGCATAAAGGGGCTGCAATGAGTGTGAAGCTATATTTGAGGCAATTTTTTTGCTTTATTTTACCAGAATGAGATTGGTGTTTTTTTTGTGCATATGCCATAGGAGTATTAGGGAATATATGTGTTTATAATTTTTTGGTACGTTTTGGAATGCTGAAGCTTAAACTGGATTATTCATCCACTTGCTAATATCAGTGATGCAGGACATAGAAGTGATAGTGGTTTTTATTCAGTGGCAGTAGACTAAGAAAAAACCATTTTGCAGGTGGTACTCTTGTTCGAATCACTACAAGTTAATGAATGAAATATGTTACATGTTCTACTTCTGCTCTTTTGTTTAATCAGGAAATAATTGTTCTCAAAGATGACGGAGATTCTAAAATGCAAAACATCATAGCCCTGGGGAAAATCTTAATGAATATGGAGGGAGCCACGGACTGTGCCATTCAGCAGACTATTTCTGATCTCCAGAATCAATGGGAGTGCACTGTTGATTTAGCTACTGAATATCTAAGGTATTGTGGATTTCACAAAAAAAACCAGTACAGTGCAGTAGCTTGCCCTTACAGCTATCAGTTCCTCTTCCTGCTTTACATAATTTAAAGGGGTTCCCAAACTGGGAGG